CCTGACCTAAAACAAGCAGCACACCAAAGTAGTCTGCAGCTTGTCTCTGTTGGGGTGTTGGGCACCTCTGAAGGGATAGTAAGTCCCTCAAAAGATAGCTGAAAACTCTCCTTACACAGGGAAATGTCTGTCAGATGCTAGCTAAGAGAGGCATCCTACCCATGTGGCCATACTGCAGAAACAGGTGGCATTCAGGCCACAAGCCAAGAGCTCCTCAGCTGTTCAGACTGGGACCTTTGTATCCTCAAGACTGAAGGCAAGTAAGAGCAGCTCTTACCTTTCTTTGTCCCTGTATCAGATCCAGTCTTAGGGCATGTGTCTGGGATAGACATGCCAATAGCTGCAGGCAGAAGACACCTTCTGGTTTATAAATACCAGCTTCCACTCAATTGCCTTTTACATACTAGGCTGGGTTTTCATTGGTGAAGTGAGTTTGAAGAAGGGAATAGGACAGTAAGAAAATGCAGCCCACAGTCAGAGGCAGTGAAGTAAAGACTAACATGACTTCAAAGAAAACAGTGAGACTCTCTGCTGACAGAACTTTGCAGGGGTTGAGAGGGGACAGGTTATAACAGGCTGGCTGGAGTCACAGAAGTGCTGGGAGATGGAGGGGTGCAAACTTGGGAGCATATGCTCTTCAATTATTTCAGGCTCTGAGCAAAGGAGTGTGCACAGCTTCATGAGGGGTGAATGCAGGGGACTGCTGTAGTAGACTTGTCTTCTCTGCTAACCTCTAGAAACTGGTTCCTTTAGAATAGTTAAGAGCACGTGGGCAGACTTGAAAGGAGGACAAGAATCCTGAACTCAGCATGACTTCTAATTGCTTGTTCCAGACACTGCCTGTGACTCCATTCCAGGCTCTGGGAAGTCCAAAGGACAATTTAGCCACACAGGAGGAATCCTCCTGCATCCTTGCATAACATAGAAGCAAGGTGGTCTCTGGGCAACAGCATGGCTCAGGGTGGCAGGGATTCCTGACCCTTTAACACTGATTTGCAATGAAACATTTTGGCTCGTAAGTCTGTTTCTCCTTCTGATTTTATCTTCTCTTTTAGAAAATGATGCAAATAAAGCCAAGCTGTCTCATAGCTTGTGGATATCTGTATTATAGTAAACAGCCCTCCAAGGAGAGGAGTAAAAAAGGGTAAAGGACTAATATGAGTCTTTGCAAGGACCTGTGTTCATGCCAGGAAAAAGTATGATCCACAGTCTTGCTCCAGATCAATTCCCCAGTCTGTTCCAGTCAACTGTGACTTTTGTTAATGCCTGTCCTGGGGCTAGAAGAAGGCAAGGCCAACAGTTCAGTTTGCTTTGACAGGGCTGAGCCCTGCTTGAAAACACTAGGAAACCTCCTGAGTCAGCAGCTCACTTGCTCCTACTCTTGGAATAGCTGAGATTCCCGGACACAGTAACTTGACTCTACTTCTGGCTCAGGGCAGCCACAAGCAGAAAGGCAAAAAAAAAAAAAAATCCCCTCCTGGCCCATTAACGAGGCCTATTCTGGGTTCAGGAGAAACCAGTCTGACTGATGAACTCCCCTGGCTCAGGGGCTCTGGCTGGGGCTGGGAGAGTTATTCTTTCCTTATTCAGCAGACAGGAGGATGTTAATGGAGAGCATATGGGAGGGGAGGGAGTACTGTGGATATTGCTGGAGGACAGCCAGACTGCATCAAAGCCCCAAGAAGCCTATTCTCCATCCGGGCAATGCTAAAACAGGCCATGGAGAGACGAGAAATCCAGCTGTGATACAGGGCAGAGGAAAAAAGCTCTCTGCCTTCCCCAGCTTTTTCACTCCCACTCCTGATGGGACAATGGGGCAGTATTGTGCCCTGTAGGCATCTTGTTCATAGTGGAAGCCTTTCTGGGGAAGAGCACACTTCAGCCAGGCACCCTGTCCTGAGAGACATGCTACTTCAGGGAAGCAAGAACTGCCTCTGTGCTTGCAAAGTGCCATATAATTTATGGGGCTATAGAAATGATGAATTACAACAGTCCCGCAGTATAGAGATGGAAAAGCCCTGTTAACTCCTCCAGCCCATCTCCCAGAGCTGATGCAGTACTGTTGCCTCTCACATATTTCCTGTATTTGTCTGGACATGTTTAGAACAAGCAAGCAACTGAGGTTCACTTATGTTTCACTTCTTAATTCTACTTTAAAAGTAACCCCCAATGTGATTAAGGTAGTGTGGATTACCCAGATTACCACTTGGACATGTCAAGAAGGATGGAACAGGGTGCATCATAGGTAGCCCATCTGCCTTACCTTAAAGATGAAATGGAGGACTGGCTAGTGGAGACTTGATCACAGTTTGAACTAAGAAATTTGCCATTAAGTAGGAGGGCAGCTAAAACCAACTCTAGTAAAAATTAGGTGTGTCCTTTTTGGCTCCTGACAATCTTAATGTAGCCCTGACCGAGGCAGATTTTGGGCATCCATGATGCTTGGCCTTGCATCATTCACCAGATCTCAATTAACTCAGGAGCCTGGCTTGTTTAGCCTAGTGAAGGGGTATATAGTTGCAATCTATAAATAAATACTTCAGGGGATGAACACATGGGGAGGAGAAAAAAGCTATTTAAAGATAAAGGACAATGCTGGCACAAGAACAAATGGGTATGAAGTAGCCATGCATACATTTAGGCTAGGGGTTGTCAGGTTTCTAATGCTGAACACATTGATGCTCTGTGAAGGCCAATTAAAGGGTTTAGTAAGGCCAAAAGTCAAGCTGGTTTTAAGAAGCAGCTAAACACATTTCGTCAGCTGGTTGTACAAAGTGGCTGGCTATGCAAGGAAAGGAGCTGGACTTGGGAAACCCAGAAGGAATGTCCTGAGGCATTTTGGGCTGCAGTAAGTACAGGATGAGTTCTGGCTAACCAGCTGCAGGGCCCAGTAGGAGCAAGGTGGGAAAAAACAGAAGACTAATAAAACCTGAGAAGTTTCAACTGCACCTTCATACTGCCTTCCAGTACCTGAAAGAGCCTCCAAGAAGAATGGAGGGGGACTTCTTACAAAGTAATGTAGTTACAGGACAAGTGGCAACAGTTTGAAAGTGCAAGAGGGTAGGTTTAGATTGGCTATAAGGAAGAAACTTTTTACAAATGAGAGTAGTGAGGCAAGGAAACAGGGTGCCCAGAAAGGATGTGGATGCCCAATCCCTGACAGACTTCAAGAACAGGTTGGAACAACCTGGTCTAGTGGAAGGGGTCACTGCCCATAGCAGTGAAAGGCAAATAAATTAATAAGTTTATTAGTTAATAAAGGGAGGTTGGAATTTGATGATTTTTAAGGTCCCTTCCAACCCAAACCAATTCTATGATTCCATGATGATCCAATAAAGCATAGCAGGCAGATTATAAATCCAGGTAACACTGAAAACTGAAACTAACTCCTCTCCAATGAGTAGGCTGGCTGGCTTGGTTTAGAGAAGTTTATGGGGACGGGAGAAGATTACGAACAACAGGCAGGAAAAAGTATCTGTGATTCGTTTGTGTGAAAACCTAGGCAAGAGAAAAGAAAAGAAGAAATAATGATTGATTTTCCTGTGAGCAGTTGAGGTAGGGAAGCCCTTAAATTTTGCTTTACCATCCTCAGAGGCAAAAAGATCTCCTGAGCCAGAAAACCTTAAGCTATGAGAACATCTTGTCATGTTCTCCAGTGAAGTAACAGCTCAGCCTGACCTCAGGCTGAGACCAATACATGGTCTGCATGCAGTAATCATTTTCTGTGAAGTCATTTGCCAAACAGACAGTGGGTGTCTTTCCCCATTTCTTTCCTGCAAAACAGAATATGAGAGACCTTGACCCTTGACTAATGCATGCTGGAAGGCAGATGTCCAAATCTTAGCTGTCTTATCCAACTGGAAGCTATAACAATAAATCACGTACTCCAGTTTACACCACCAGTGCAAACAAGATAATGGACCTTATACCAGAGAAAGATCTGCTGTAATATAGCATTTTGTTTCATCCTGTTCCTGCTGAGAGTAGATGGGCAGGCAGCGGAGAAGACACAGCTATACAACTGGCACAGGCCTTTCATACTGAGGGAGTTTTCCTGTGGGAATCTCCTGCCTGTTTGAGTTCTCTCTGTGCTCTATAACCAGTGCAAAGCAAATTTAGCAGAGAGCAGAGAATCCATCTTAAAATGCCTTAGGGGGGACAGAAAATACAGTATAAATGGAACTGCAGCAATGTCTCTTCTAATTCTTGTAATCTGTCACCTAGCTGTGGCAGTGATAGGTACTTTAGAAACCCACAGACATTCTGAGTATGATTTGATCACATTAGTAGTGGCCTATGCATCAAGAGATTCAGAGGTTTTATTCAGAAAGGCATTAAAATAAAGATGGTTGTGCTTTCAAATCTCTTTTGTCTGGAAAGAGGTTATCTCCTAAGGCTGGCTTTACTCCTGACATTTCTCATTCTTTGCTTTTCTTTACAAATCAGAAATAGAACATGAAATGCCTTGTCTTGCTATTTTCATCATTCTGCAGTCAGTCTCAGCATGAATCTGAGGCTATGAGGGTGGGAGGTGATGAGCTGAGTCAAGTCTGAAATATGGTTCCTTGCACTAGAAGGATATAGATGTGGTTTCTGTGTAAGTCACCAGTTCAGGTCTTCTTGGTACTGAAGGGTGATGACTGTTATGCTCTGTGAGAGCTGTTATGCTCTCTTGAATTGAGGTAGAGGGTTTTCCATCCAATTACCAGCTAACTCTGTGCAGTAGTCTAGGAAGCTGAGAACTGCCTGAATGAAAGCACCAACGTGTTCACTGTGGAAGAGCACACAGGGGACGTTTGTCCCGTCACTACTTGCATTTTCCTGGCTGAATGAAGCTTTGATATTTTTTATCCTCCATGTTTAAAGTTCTTGGCCTGATAACCCTCATCAAGTTGAATCAACTATAAAGATAGGAGAGAAGATGAAAAATTATTTTCCTTTGAGGAAGGGCTTTTATTTTAGATGCAAACCAACAGATTTTTTTTCCCTTTGACCTCCAATGAGAATTTATTGGTAATTTTCACATTTTAAACTGACATTTTAATTTTCTTCACAAAAACATTTCAAACATTGAGGACCTCAGTAAATCTCTAAAGCACATGGTGAAAAGTGTTCACACAGACCATAAAATTGTAACTCTGGATTTGTACAATTCATGCTTATGGTCAGTCATTGCAAGCTTTAAAGAATCTACCACTTCAGCCATCACGAAAAGGCAGTAAATCTGGATTATGCATTGAAAGTGCTTAGGGAGTCTGGGTATTTATACCAATGAAATGCCAAAATATTTTACTGACACGCTCCATTTTTTACATTCTTTTACCAGCAGTTAATTTTTTTTATGTGTACATATATATTTTAATGCTGACAGTTAAATTTTGGCTATCATTAGTTTGCAACTGGTTAGGCCTTTTCTCATCAAAACAGGAGTCCGAACAATTTCACTCACATGGCACGTTGGGCAGAAGATAGTGGAAACCTTACAGATACATGCATGGCCTGGGCTGAATATAGTTAGAGCTACCTCTGTGGAAGCTCTCCAGATGTCATACACAGAATTCCTGGCTGTTTCCACAGCAGTGATTGACTGGGGTGCTGCTGCTGAAGAACCTCTGTCAGCCCCTGGTGTCTTCACACAGGACCAGAGCTGTGAAAACATGAAGGAGAAAGTGGTGACTCAGTAGGGAATCTTTCTTCTGCATCAGAAGCACTTTAAACCACCTGAGGGATGCAGGCAGCTAGAAATAAAAACTGAAGTGTCTGTGGGGTGTCCATTATATGGTGCCATTAAGAGTGGTCCAAGTCAACCCTAGTACCCAAAGCAATGCAGTCATGTTAACATAGCCCAGCTAGGCTCCTTAGCCTCTATTTTAAATGTATGCACTGCACACAGATACATTTATTTCCTGACCCAAATTAGGTCTCTTACTAATTTTGAGCACCTCTGTATGATACTGCTTGGTGCTACACAGGCACTTTCTACTTGCCAGTAGAAAATGTGCCAGGAGCACATTTTATTTACAATAGGAAATCACTAAGAAGAGGCCCTATTCCTTTTGGATTGACAATGAAGTCACACAAAACTGGTGCATAAAGATTTAATTATACGTAACTAACTCAGACCAAGCTCACTGAGGCTAAAGGAAGAGTGGAAACATGCTCATAAAGTCCAGATCCACTCTCAGGCACTTGGTGACCCACACTAGAAAAATGGTATGGAATTTCTGATGCTGTTTTTAAACAGTTCACAGTGTTTCAATGCTGAGTGCCAGGGCCCCAGTACCCTCATTGGGTCTCCCCTCACCCTGCCCACAGCTCAGGACCCCATTTCAGGCCCTAACCAGCAACATCACAGGACACTGGTCTCCAACTTCCATGGGGGAGCTGACATGGCAGCCCAGCCTAGGCCTGCCCCCATTCCCAGGGAGGTGCCCAATGCCCAAGGCTGGCACTGCCTTGGCGCCCTTGGCTGGGGTAGTGGGGTGAGCCTGGGCTGGCAGCCTGTGCCCTGCTGCCCTGTGGCTTTCCCTGAAGCTCCCTGCACCCCATCCTCAGGGGGCCACTTGCTGTCCCCTGGTGCTGCTGCCAGGCTCTTTCCTACAGGTAGGATGTTAAGAAGAAAGGTCAAACTCCAAAGATAATCAGCTAATGCTGCAAAGCAGAACCAAATTAATGATCATAACCATGGTTGCCGTTCTCGTCCTCAGACCCCAGACTACATACTTAAAGGCATAATTGAATATAAAACATATACTTTAATTCCTGGCAAAAAGAGAAACTGCTTTTGCATTTGAAAGCCCAACTACCCTCTCACCCCATGGGGAAGGTTTGGTTTTATTGTATTGTCTATTCTCTCATCTAAACAGCTCTCACTTCCCACTTGAGTCCTTCTGGCAAGTATTGATATGCTTCTTTCTTGCTCTGTAAAGGATACCATGAACCTGTCATCTTTCAAACTGTTTCTCAACTCACTTTTGCTGTGATATCTCTGTGAGTTAGGAATGAGCTCTAATAATTTAAAGATAGTTAATCCACTATGGTTTGTTGAACTTTGTAAATATTTACAAATATTTGGCAGGGCAAGTGAGAAAAACTCAAACAAATTACATTCCTAGCTTTGCATCTCTCTCCAAGTATGACATGGTAGTCATGGATTACTTTACTACAAACCCCAGGGAACAGTCTAGGTATCAAGCAGTTTTAGGAAAACAAAACAAAACAAAACAAAACAAAAAAAAAAAAAAACCAAAAAAAACTAAACAAAAAAAAAAACAACCCCACCAGAAATTCAGAGGTTAGAAAACATTAGTAAAGTCAACTATTATGGCACTAGAGGCCATGCAGTGAACCCTTCTTTGCTCTTTGTCCTGGACTACTCTCTTACATCCAAGATGCTGAAATGAATCAGCAGGTCAAATAGCAGATCATGACTGAGGCCCTTTCTCCAGGCAGAGGAGGCCCAGGCAAAGCTGGCCAGGTTTAAAGGGAGGCTTCAGATTTGCCCTGAAGATCTTTCAATACAATGCTGGGCCTTGCCATTCAAAAGCCAGAGGGACATTATGTTTACTTAATGTTATATTTTAAAGCAGATGCAGATGGAAGACAACTGTGTTCAAGACCTGCAGTATTACAAAAATGTTTGAATCATGTGCTGCTGACCCTGATGAAAAGAACTCTGCTCTGCCAGCACAAGAGCCACTAATTCTTAGGTGCTGTAGTAACATCAACATCAACAGGCTCATGCTGTGGGAAGACAGCCTTGTGTCGTATCTCAGTGCACTCTGTGGGGCATTAAAAAAATCCATACTTGTAGCAATGGTATGGAACATAAGGGTAAGGGATCTTTATTTTCAGGCCATAGCCATACAATTTGAGCCAATACAGATGGCACATATAGCCATGTGGAAGATTTCATTCTTTCCAGCTGGTCCTCATTACCATTTGCTTTCAGTAATTTCAAGGAATATTGTAGCTACCATTTCCAAGTCTCTGTCAGACATTCTTCCAGAGAGAGGGATTCAGGCAGCTTAGTTGTTCCATTTTTTTTTTTTTTTCACAAAGAAATAAGACTTCTTCTCATACAGTGTAATAAGGGCACTGCGTCCCCAGGAGGGACTAATTCTCATTTCCTGGCTCAACACTGGAGGTAGGTAACTTACAGAAATACTTCTGCAATCTGCAACTACTGTTGTACTCTGGATCTGGCACTCTTAGGAGAAGGTTTGGAAATAAATTGCCTGTTTACAAAGGAAGCCCAGTGTAGCCAGGACTGGCTTGTTCTGTAAAGAGTACAAAAGGACTCCCACAGCACTACTAAAATAATAGGAAGAGTAACAGGGATTGCTACAGGAATGAGTCATAGGCATGCAGAAAACCCAAAGGAGGCACTGATTTTGTCAGATGCACAGAGGTAGCTGTCACCTCCTCCCAACAGCCACTCAGGGAGTGGATGGTGAGCAATGCATAGACAGCCATCTTGTTTCTAGTCAGACTCAAAAATCCTTGTTTGCAAAGTAAGAAGGAACAAAAATGTGTTGAGCAAAAGATTTAATTTCTTGGTGTCTATGGGGAAATCAAGAGACAATGGGAAGCAACATAAAAAGCACATACATGAAAGACTGTTATTTAAAACCAGTTGACACAGTCATTTTCAGTGGAATCTGGCTGGATGTAGCCAGTATTTAATTCAAAAATTCTTCAGGAATGAAGGTCTTTTGCAGGCCAGCTTTATTTGGCTGGGGTTGGGCTTTGCTTTTTCCCACATCCCGCCTGCTGAAGTTAGAGGTTGATGGCAGGGAGCCCGATTCCTCTGCCTCTTCCTGTGCTGGACACAGCCAGCCAGCATCACCTCTTTGTTAAATTGTCTGCTAGAACTGCTGTATTCAAGAGAGGCTGGTGTAAGGCAGGGAAGGAACAGGACCACCTGATCTCCTTTCTGAGAACAGAGCAAAAAATTATCTGAAGGAAGACCCATAAGGAGTCAAAGAAGAAACCACATACAGTGGGCTATGCATTGTCCCATGGCAGTAACAGCTTTCCTGTTTGATAACCCAGAAGCCATTTCTTAATGGCTTCTCTTTGTAAAAAAGAGGCTTTCTTGTGCAGCAGAAAACAGCAGCAAAACACTTGCTCCTAGAACTAGACATGGAAACTGAAAATAATGACAATTCTAAAGAATCTTTTTGAAGCACTTACCCAATAAAATTACATAATAATTTTCTATCCCATAAGAAAAGTACAGTTGAACTAAGGGCACTTAGAAACTCTACCTTTACAAATGAGGGATACAAAAATTAGTCCTGCTCAAATGTTCAGCAACACATAGCAGGTAGAAAATACACAGCAGGCTGGTGTGGTTGAGCTACTCCCAGGGAAAGCCCCTAACATGAAAACAGTAAGGCAACCAACCCGAAGCCATCCTTAAATCAATAATACACTCCACTACACTCCTCTCTCTTGTGCACCTCAATTGCTTTCATTCTGTCTCGGGATGTTCAGCCAGGTCTGCTAAAACTGAGGTATTGTTTCTTGTTGACGCTGGCAGGCAGGGGGCAGGGACCAGCTGATATGGCAACTCCAGATGTGCTTTTTCTATTCTTTGAAACTGTTCATCAGAAAAACAAAAAGCTCTCAGTTGCCATGGAGACAGTATCTCTGGCACTGATGTACGCAGTGGGCGGCGGCAGCTTCCTGGCTGTAGAGACGTCCAAGACCCAGTACTTTAGCAAGTTACTGCTGAGCATGCTCTGCAGCAGAGGGTTCAAGCTTGGATGACAGGCAGGACTTACCTGAGGTGGCCAAGAAAATGAGAAAATGGAGGATCCAAAGATCCGTGGATTTTGCACCTGAAAAAAAAGTCAAAGTGATGTTGAAGTGAATTTGGAGCCAAGGAAATGCTCTACAAATCCCTGAGAGGCAGTACACAGAAAACCTGGTAGCCTCTTTTGAGATGAAAACATTTCCAGAGATTTGGATTATTTTGTTTACAGAGATAATACTAGGAATAGTGGAGAAAATGAGCAAGATCTTTTTGCAGATGGAGATTATTTTTTTTCAGGAAAGCAGTGAAAACTCTATCGTTTGAATCACTTAGAACTTACATCTGTACTCAGTGAAGGAAATGATCCTCTGCTGGTCCCCAGGAGACACACGAAATGAGACCAATTAGGATTTCTCCAGTTCTAAATACAAGGACTGTGCAAAGACATACTTTACCCTTATTATGTTTGAAAGTGAAAATGAATAGTGTGTTCCCCAGCTGAATTAAAATCAGGGCTTGCATTATGTAAAAAACCAGAGAAGATGATCTGTTCTGTCCTTAAAATCTCTGAAAATATGACCAAAACTGATCAGCTGGGAATACCTGTTATGGAGGCCAGTCTTAACAGTGTCCAGTTGATGATGTCTCAGAGGACAGTGAGAATAGCAGATAATCCATCTGGCCATGAGTACATTGCGTTCTACAGGGAAAGAAATTTCACTGAACCAGGGATGTAATCTCAAAAATATGAAACCTCTACCTCTTGTGTATACTGTATTTATCATATCTGATTACCACTCTTTTCCCAGGCACATACTGCTAGTGATCAGAGATTATCCAGACTATTTTACAGCCCAGAGCTTATAAATGGGCCACTTTAATTTCTGGTGTAAAATGGTACATCCTAACTGAACTCACAGAAACTACTTGAATTATAACAACATTACTCTGTTTGGCTCTGAAGTGGGCAGGAGGACAAGGGTCCACAAAGTGTACAGAGTAACCCCACTAATAAACATTAGGCCATGGGATTGCTAGAATTGTGTTCTGGGTTGTCTCATGACACAGAAATAGATGTGACCTGCTGGATGTGCTCACAAGAACACTGCAAAAGGTTTGGAGTTCTGTCCATTCTCATCTACATTTTTCTTCCCAAACCAGTTTTGCTTCATTACTGTTCAAGAAACTGAGAAGGGCTGCTGATAGGAAGAAGCCCTATTAGCAGAGACACCCTCCTGGAGGTGGTAAGGAATAGACATTAGGCTGCTGTCTAAATGATGCAGCAGTCTAGCTGGCCAGGGCTTATTCCTCCTGACATCTGCTTTCTGAGGTACTGCCATCCATATTAGATTCCGTCAAAAACCATTTTGCCACCAAGCTGAGTAGCTTCCTGGGACATGTGTCGCTGCAGGGGGCCCACCACATCCCATCCTTTGTCCTGGGGAGATGACATCCACCCTAGCAGCAGGGCCTGGTGGGGGTTATAATGCCTTTGTCCAGAAGCATTGGAGATCATTCCCCCATGGAGATACTCTGCATTTGGGTGGCTAAAATGGAACAAATCAATAATTTGCCACTGCAGAGTTAGAAATGCAGACACTCAGGACATTTGCTCTGAAGCAATCTGACTCAGGAGAGTGTTCCCATCAGGGCTCAGATGCAGAGGTGTCGGAGTGGATGATACTTTTTTAGATGAGTCCAAGGGAAATATATCCTACAGATGGGGCATGGGGAGTTCAGCAGGTGGTAAAGGAGTGACCCCACAAACCAGAGCTATCTTGGGCACATGATATAGTCAGAAGACTCATCTATTTTCAAAATTGAAATTCCTTTTCTGCACCTAAAATAATGCATGGCTCTATTGCAGAACCATGTGTTAATTGGTATTTCAATTTGACCAATTTAATTTCAGTTCCTAAATTTTCCATATCATAGATGGTTGGATGCAGCCTCCTGCTACTTCAAATGTTGCATAGCATTGCTATGCTCTGTTAAATAACTTCCTTCTTCCTTGCCAGAAATAGCTACATTTCAATAGTAAGTAAAGAGATCTTAACATTTATAGTTTCTAGAGCTTCTAGTTTGGATTGCTGAAATGTATAAACATAAACCTTTTTTGATTTTGCTGTCTGGAGAAGCTGCTATTAATAGGGAGGAGCATCCAGTATGGTCAGTTTAGCCAGTCACACCAGAACCTGTCAGATAAAGGACATTTCTGCCCAGCTACTCTCTCCTCAATGCTTTCTGCTGATCGCGGTATTTAGATGACCTGGAAGACACTACTCTGGAGCCTGAGGAACACAGGATACTTCACTAGTGCTGTTGTAAACTGTGTTTTAGGCTCTGTGACAGAATATTGAGTTGGTTTAGATCTTGAGCAAGCTGAAGGTGTTCCCCTTTCTTAGGGGTCAGCCCACTCAATAACAACAGAGGCTGAGGGACCAGGCAGTCTCTGGCAGGGTGACCAAGGGTATTGCTGCTGGCAGGAGTGTCTGAGGCAGTGAATGTGCCCAGCATGCCAGTGAGCTGTGTTCACTCATCCAAGGGCTGATTTAGCTCAGAGGTGGTTCATGAGACCTTGGCCCCTCTCCAGCTCTAGCCTTTCCCCTTTTCTAAGGAATAATAGCATGGGTTAAAAGCAGAAGGACTGAAGAAAGCACAGCCTTACTTAACCACACATGGAAATAAAGAAATGTCTACAACAATATGGGGAATTAAGGGAGAGGAGGTAAAAGGAAGGAGAGAGATAGAAGAGGGAGGGAAGGAGAGGATGGCAGGGGATCTTTTCCAGCCCTGCTTACAAGGTGCGGGATAATTCATGGCCCTTGTTTACACTGCTCCAGACCACATCACAGACATTCCTGCTTAATGGCTTCCATCTGGAGCAGCCATGTGCTGCCCAGCCTCCCCCTCACCATGCTGCCAGCAGAGGAGTGTCTCCCTCCAGACCTTCCAACCCAACTACCTCTCACAGACTGCCTTCACTGAGGGGGTTGGTGCATGCATCATCTGTCCCCAAGACATTACTGTCACATTTCCATGATCCAAGATAAGGGGGCTGGGATATACCTCAGACAGAGGAAAGACCCATAAACGTGGGGCCCACAGGATGTGCTGGAAATGCAATGCAGGGACACCCAGTCATTCTGCACAAGCTCAGCCTAAGTGCAGCAGGGATTATTAGCTCTGGCTCAGCATCAACCCTGCTGGACCTGGGCTGCTACCCAACAGGACCGCTCAAGTGTCTCCACATTGCACCTCCCAGCACTCTGGATTTGGGAGGGTTTATTAGCTTGGGCACAGTGCCAGACATGAGCTGTCTTTCTGAATCTCCATAGTGCTTGAACTGAGTTTCACTGTGCTCAGAGCACTGTGGAAAGACACCTGCTTGGCTCCAAGGGAGTCCAGCTCTGGTCAGTCACTAAAGTACTAAGGCACAGGTACTAAGCCAGCCCTGCTGAATCCAGCAGGATTTGTGTGAATTCTCTCATGTGTCTTTGCACCATGGTTCCCAACCCTCACAGCCCCAGCAGGGTCCTGAAACAACCCCACTGGTTCTACCTGGGCCAGGTTTATCAGGTTGGGATCTACATTTGGCAGAAGTGGCAAAGCTGCTCAGAAATCTGAACCAGATCTGGAAGCAGCAAGGCCACAGTCACACAGTGCAGCACAAAGCCTCCGTTTCTGAGTCCTGCCAGACCTGGTCTGGCTCTGCTTTCTCTGCATCTGCAGCAAAGACTGAAGGGCAGAGACAGAGCTGTGTGTGGGCTTCATGACCAAAACAGAGAGGATGGTGGAAGTCAAAGGTGCACAGTAGACTGGAATGGCCAAAGGAGACAGTAGCAGAATCTGCTGCAGATCTGAGTGAGCTGCATTCAGAGGATCCAGCCTCCAGCTGACCCACAAGACAGCAAATGCAGCCTGCAAACTGAATTTAGACTATCATGACATGCAGAATATTCAGTGAAGTTGGAATCAAACCCAGGCTACCACAGCAGTTAAAAGTTAATTTATTTATTGAGTATCCTACAAGGTCTTGGAGGTGTGATCATGGGTTAAAGGGAGAGACATGGGAAGATCAGCTTCTCACTCTGCTCTCTTTGTTTGTGTCATGCTTTCTCTCAAACTCATTCTCTCAGCTAAGCAATACATTCCCAGCATCTGTCGAGTTTGATCTGCTCTAAGCTCCAATGAGAGGCAAAAGAGGAGCTGAGATGGGAATGAAACAGAATCCCAGTCTGTGACGAGGCACTGAGACTCCTCACTGCGCCCCATGCGGGTTGCCCTGTCATAAATCATCATTTGTCAAATTCAATAAGCATCCTTAACACAAAAATGATGCTATCTCCTGGGAGCCTCAAGTGCCTGAAATTTTGCACAGATGTGGAGATACAAAAATATAAGGGAAGAGGGGAGGACAGGGGGGAGAGGGAAGGAGGACAGATTTTGCATGGCAGAAAGGGTGTTCTCTACGCTCTGTTCCATTCCCATCCTGCTGCCCTCCACCGCACTGCCACACATGCAGCCATGTATGCTGTCTTCCTGGGAACGCTGCAGACCCAGCTCCTGGCACATCTTTTGCATACTCTAAAAGGAGAAAGCAGGCTGTGTATGCAATATGGAAAATCCATCTACTTAGGGGGTCACAAGCCTACCACAAAAAGCTTCCCTGCTAGCCCAGAGACGTGGATGGCAGGAGGCCTGGGGGGTGGCGCCCTGCTTTGGACAGAAGAGGTCATGAGGCACTTTCATTAGAAATCATGCTGCTGCCATTTCCACTCCCTGCCAGCAACATGAGAGCTGTAGCTTCGGTTAGACACCATCCCTTATTGTGCAACAACAGGAGGCTGGAGAATAGGACCACCTCGGGGGGTTCAGCTGTGAAATCTCACTCCTCAGTGGAATGTGCTGCACTCTGGCCAGAGCCAGGGACCAGCACTGCTGTAAGAAAAGACTGAGTGCTTACTACTGTGACCACTGAAGCTTGAAAGCAGGTTCCATTTACACACACACAGGTTGCATTGCACCATACATTACCTATACTTAAAACGCCACGTATAAAAAAGAATATTTGCAAGCACCCAC